CCTAAAGTCAACATTTCCAACATGCACATGTCAGAGAGACACTTCTTGAATGCTTCTTGAACTCTGACAGGCTTGGTGCTGTGACCACTTCCCTGGGGAACCTGTTCCAGTGCCCAACCACCCTTGGAGTGAAGAACCTTTTTCTAATATCCAACCTAAACCTCTCCTGACACAACTTCAGGACACTCCGTTGGGTCCTGTCACTGGTCAACACAGAGGAGAGGTCAGTGCATGCTCCTCTTCCCCTCATGAGGAAGTTGTAGACTGAGATGAGGTCTCCCCTTAGTCTCCTCTTCTCCTGGCTGAGCAGACCAAGTGACCTCATTCACTCCTCATATGACTCCCCCTCAAAGCCCTTCATCATCCTTGTGGCCCTCCTTTGGACACTCTTTAATAGCTTTATATCTTTCTTATATTGCAGTGCCCAAAACTGCCACAGTATGCAAGGTGAGGCCGTACCAGTGCAGAGCACAGCATGTCAGTCCCCTCCCCTGACTGGCTGTGATGCTTTGTCTGATGCCCCTCAGGACATGGTTGGCCCTCCTGGCTGCCAGGGCACTGCTGACTCATAGTCACTTGTAGTTTTTGAAAGCTGATTGATCATTGGAACCAAGATACTCAGCCTGGGCCTGCATGAGCTCCACAATCCCAAAATAACCTAGCTATGGGAATTAGACCATTTCAGAGTTAAGTAGGAGCTGAGGGGGAAAACTGTGGATCGCAGTTCTGAGAGTTTGCCTTTACCTGAATTCTGGTGCTGACCTCCAACTGTATGCTGGATCTCCTCTCCAGCGCCTGGAATTCCCATGGAAATGGAATATTTCAGCTTCACCCACCTACATGCTCGAGGCCAAAACTCTCCTTGTGTCCCAGTTACACATTATTCTGAGAGTGGCATAAGTGGTCATTGTATGTGAATTCAGCAAAAGAATGAATTCTCTACATCAAGAGCAAAAATGGCAAAACTGGACCTTTCTCATTAAATAAGTCACACGAACAATCAATTTGCATATGTTTTGCATTCTTTGGTATAAATTTTTAAATATTTTAAAGTTTCAGGAAACCTGGGAGGACTTATAACATGAATCTCTCTGAACTGTGATCCAAGAGTTACTTCTCCCTTAAGAATAATGATTTATTGGGTCTAAGCTGTTTTAGAATTATTATTTTTTAGTCTACTGGGGCTTTCAATGCAGTTACTTTCAAAGGAAATAAAACCAGATGGTAATTGTAGATTAGAGAAAAAGATTGAGCTCCCAATTAATTATTAAAATTGACTGTTAATTTTAGAAACTTGCAGTAAATTTTTCACAAAAGAAAATTTAAAGATACAAGAACATCCTATACTATATTATTTCTAAAATTCCCTGTTCACAAGCTGTAAAGAACATTTTAAATTTAGGAGAAATCATACTTGGAAATTTAATGACACTAGGTATATACTGAATTGCATCAAAGATCTGTCCCTCTCCTTATATAACAGAACCACAGAATGAATAAGGTTAGAAGGGATGACCGGTGGGGTCATCTGGTCCAACCTTTCTGCTCAAGGAATATATATGCACAGCATTCACATACCCTAACCCTATAAAATACTGAAAATCAATATATTTGCATGTTATGTAGACATATATCTCTGTTTCAGTGTTAAGGCAGAGGGAGAGCAGTTTTCCACTTATTTGGAATGGTTTTTCTGGTATTAAAAAAAATCCATTCCTGACTGTGATGAATTAAAATATTTTGGTGGGTTTGGGCTTTGTATGAATGAGACAACAATATCAGAGATGCAAAAATGTTCAAACTAGCCCCTAACTTCACAATACTTCTTGGCAGTCAAAAATACTGCAAGAGGCTGTGCATTTCACTGAGTGAAGACAAAATGTTTTGCTGCAAAGAGAGTAGAAACTATTTATCATACCTAGACTATGGAGCAACCAGCCACTCTGACCTTCCATGGCTTCCTTGATAGTTCAGGTACATGGATACCTTCTGCTGGTGGTGAAAATATACATTCTCTTTCCAAGTTTGTGGTCTTTGTGATCTCTTTGCTCTTTGTTAAAATACAGAAACAATACGTGTGACAACAGGGAAGGTCAGGTTAGAATAAATTTAATATTAAAGTTCTGTTTTACTTTCAGAAAAGGCTCTACAAAATATCCTCCCCTACCATGTTCCCATGGACTGATCTGTTCCCTCCATGTTTTCAGTTAGCTGTAATGCCTTCAGTAAAAAATTGTGATTACAGGCACATGTTTCTCCCCTTAGCTCTGTGTATTCAACACTGCAAGTGAGAAAGGGATGAAGCTCCAGTCTGTGCACATCAGCAAGGGAGTTTCTAATGTCCCAGATATAGTTTTATGAAACTCAAAGTTTATATCTTCAACACTCTTGTTTCTGAGGTCATAACTTTGGTTGAAGTGTAATGACTGGGACAATGCACAGAATGAGACGACTCGAAGTGTGCTCTCAGAGTACAGAGTAGACTTTGCAGAAAGGAAGGGATGAAGAAGTGATAAAGTGGTAATGAGAAAGTAACATGAGAATATTTGCAGTGGGATTGATATAAGGCCCTAATGTAATATGTTTAGAGAAATGCTTCTTCCATAGGACTGTTCAACACGTCAATCATCCAGTGGATCAGCAAGCAGTGGTCACTTAACAGCAACACTACAAAAGGAAAAAATATGCCAATTAAACCAAATAAAAATATTAAATCCCCAAATATTAAACATACATCAAATTTGGCAACTCATTGAACTGCCTAAGGCAGTTGGTTTATAGAGTCATGTTCTTTCCACTTAATATTATTAACAATTCCCAGGGAAGTACTGCATAGTTATAGTAGCTAGTACATTAATCTTTATCATATGTGCAAGAGTGGAAGCTTGCAAGAGGATTATGAAAACACAGTGCTTGTTCTTTTATCTCCAAATTGATCTCTATGCAGAAAATAATGATCTAATGAGACTACTTAATAACTGACTGTTAACTTTCCCAGGGCTAGAAATACTTTTATATCAAGTGGTGGGACAAATGCTCTTGTGAGGGTTCTGAGCTCTCTGCTTTGAGATGCTACTTCTTGTCTTCCAGTCAATGTGGTAGGGTCACAAGATACAAATACCTCATATACCTTTTTCAAACATGCTGTGGGTTAAATTAGTGGTTGAGCATGGAAATCATTCTAAAAGCACAAGTCATCTTCCCCACAGATTCCTTTTGCCTTTGCTCATTAATATTGGGGTGTTTCCTCTAAAATTCAAGTGACTTTCTGGATGTAAACTCTTTGAAGTAGAACGAAACCACTGAATATTCCCCTTTCAAGGGAAAGCAAAACTGAAATGGATCCTGTTGTGTTCACATTCTCAGTCTACTTTGTCTATAAGAGAAATCGGTACTGGGTTAGAGCAAAGGCCCATCTAGCCCAGTGCCTGTCTCCAGCAGTGATCAGCAGTGGATGGTTAAGGTAAAGAATAAGAGCAGGGCAAGAATATAATCATTCTTTCCCAAATATAACCCCAGCCTTCAGCAATTTGTGTAACAGGAACTTCCCAAGCCAGAGGTCATGACTTCATATTTAAAAGCCTTTAATGTTTTTTTCTTCCATAAATATGTCCTACAATTTTCTGAAGCATAAAGTCCTGTGGAAATGACTTCTACAGCTTCACTAAATATTTTGTGAAGAAGTATGTCTTTTTGTTTAAATCAAAGCTAGGCCCTAGTGGATTTCATTTCTCCTACTCCTAAAACTGGAAATAATACTGAGATATCATTCCAATTTATATTCCTCATGCTACTCATTATTATGAAATGTTATGAATGACAACCCCCCCATCACTGTTTTATCTACACTTACCTTTTTTTTTCCATGCCAAAGAATCCTACTCTGTTTAGCCATTTCTTATGTAGAAGTTGTTCCTTATCTTTATCATTTATCACCTAGTTCTTTGCTATATAAGATCCTTCAGTAACTGACTCAAGAGAGATGCCCAAAGCAAATAGACCAGGACAATCAGCTGACTTTAATCCACCACTTCACAGGAATTTTACTCCACAATGTACAGGGGTAACAAAAGAAGAAGCACACATTTAGTTGAGCTTAGTGTGTTGATAAAAGCAGATGGGTGTGAATTTGGCTGCCAAGGTCATTATGTCACTCAAAGTCTTCCAAATACAGTTTAATACAGGTCTTATGAGGCTTGTACAGAAAGTGATTTTCAGGACCTAATTTAATAAGAGTAGTTCCCTTCTTCTGTCCTTTCTACACCACTATCAAAAGCTTATAGATCACTATAATGAACGACAGGTGATTGTGAAATAGGTAGAGGGCCTAGTCAAAGGACATTATGGAAGGATGTTCTAGAAATCTGTGAGTATTCTAGGAGACATTGTTCTCAAGGAGTACAATTTCATCTGAAAAACACAGGTACTACATTGCTGGGAAAATTCCTGAACTTGAAGCACTTGGGAGAGGGGCTGAGAGAGTGCAGGGGTGAAGGTTGTCCTATTTTTACATTCTTAACCAGACATTTGCTGTGGGTACTGCACAGCACGCTGAGCTAGATGTCCCTGCAGTCGGACCCAGGCAAAACTTCTCTTATAAACCCAGGCTGCCATGTTCATTAAAGCAGCCCATCGATAATACATGGTCCATTAAGATCACTCTTTCCATGGCTGCTGTAAATGCCGCAGGAGGCTGTGCTCTACCCGACTTTCGCTGGGAAAGGGGTGATGCTGGAAAACAGGCGGTGAAGCCCACGCCGCTGGGTAGAAGCCCGCAGTGCTAAGCCCTCCCGGCCGCCAGCAGCCCCTTCCCACCCCTCCCGCGGCGGCACGGAGCACCTAGCCCGCATCCCAGGGGCATCGGGAGCGCCGGGAGGCAGCCGGGCGGGCTGCAGGAGGGCTTAGGACCCAGGGGGACGGCAGTGGAAGGACCCAAGCTTTGGCGCACACGCCTCCTACAAAAAAAAAAAAAAAAAAAAAAAAAAAAAAAAAAAATCACAGCCCCGTGGAGCTGGCGCTCGCTCATTCAGTTTTCTAGAGAGATCTGAGCCGGAACCCGGGAGCCGGGAGATCTTTCTCGCCCACCCATCTCAGCAGCAAGGACATCTACAGGGGGAAAAACCCACCCCACGCAGCCCCCCGCCGCCCCACGGCAGCTGCTGGCGCTGTGCAGGTATTTGGATTTGCCTTCTTTGGGGTTGCGCAGGGCGGCTCTCCGCGCTCCCGGCGCCCCCCGACCCTCCGGGCCCGGGGTGCGGCGATTCAGCACCGCCGGGAGGACAGCTCCGGCGGCGGGCAGGGGCCGCTCCCTTCCCGGCATCCTGCCTGCCCGGCTCCCTCCTGCCTGCCCTGCTCCCTGCCTCCTGCCGGCTGCGTCCTGCCTGCCTAACCTCTCCTGCTCCCTTCTGCCTGCCCCGCTCCCTGCCTCCTCCCCACCCTACTCTCTGCCTGCTGCCTCCTGCCTGCCCTGCTCCCTGTCTGACCTGCCTCCTGCCTCCCAACCTATCTCTCCTGCTTCTGTTTCCTTGCCTTCTGCCTGATATGTTTGCCCTGCCTACCTCTTTCCCCTGTTCGCTGCCTTCCCTGTCTCTGTGTCCCCTGCCTCCACTGCTTACCTCATGCCTGCCCTGACTCCCTGCTCCCTTCCGGCCCTGTTCCCTGCCTCCTCTGCATCTTAGCTGGCCTGGTCCCTCCCTACCTCCTTACCCTGATTCCTGCCTCCCCTGGCTACCTCTCCTGCCTGTCCTACCTCTCTGCTCTCTGTCTCCCTCTGCTCTCTGCCTCCGTGCCTCCTTCCCCTTCTCCCCGACTCTCTTCTTTGCCCTGCCTGCTCTACTTCCCTTACCTCCCCCTTCCTCCTCTGCTTCCTCTGCCTCCCTTGCCTCCCTTGCCTCCCTGCCCTGTTTCCTGCTTCCAGCCTCCTATCTATCCTGGCTCTTCTGCCTCCAGTCCTCCTTGTCCTGTTTCTCTGATTCTCTTATTCCTGCCTTCCTGTTTTCTGCCTTCCCTGTCTACTCTCCTTCCTGCCCTGCTCCCTTGTTTCCTTTCTTCCTTGCCCATTTCCCCACATTCCTCACTTTCCTGCCCTTTCTTTCCCTCCTGTCTTCCTTCTCCATCACCAGTCCCAGTCCTTCCTGAAAGGGAGCATGGCACTGAAAAAAGCAGCTCAGCAGCCCAGAAGCTGGGGAAGAAAGGGAACACAACTTGGAAGGGAAAGTCCAGATCTAATTTGAGAGCAAGAGAGAGGTGAGAGGGATGTAGCAGAAAGGCTTAAAACTGGGATTTAAGTTACTGAAGTAAGGACTCCAGCCAAGTGTTGACATACAGAAGTTTGCCAAACAGCAGCAGATACCTGTTTGCTCCTTAGCAAATTGATGCCCATTTTGATTAGGTGTACTCAACCCAAAGAGGGATTAAAGAGAGTGGGGAATGTGCTAGGTCAGTCAAGTGTATTGCCTTTCCAATGGCAAACAGTGATGAATAATGGGTGCGAGGAAGAAGTGAGGTGAAAAACAGCTAGCCTGTAGATCCTTTTCTGCAGGAAGTAAAGAATTAAGCTGTGATCTCTGCAAGAAGTGAGGATGTTCAGACAGGGCTTCATGCATAAAAATAAATGCAAAGCAAATAACAGCTGGAGAAACCCCATGTGTGCTACTGGCCTGACTTTAATTCTCTTTGCAAAGGTTTAATCCTGAGAGGGTGAGGAAGGTCATAGGAGAAAGAGAGTTTCTCCTTTTCAAAACGCTGATTCCTCAGTTTTAACAAGCTCTGGGAATAATGAAGTTAAGGAGCAGATGGCTACTCCTTGTCCATCACTAAACAGTGACTGGATCCTATTTGGAAGGAAAAATTAAATTACAGAAAGGCGGCTTTCATGTGCTTTCTGAGTAATCAGATGATAACACGGATTTTCTCCAGTACTAAAAGTTAATACAATGCCAACATTTACATGACATATTATGTAACAGTATTATGCCATGCACTGCATAGCGAAGGTACTGGTTTACTTTTTCATATAATTATAAGTCAGATAACCTTATAGAGCTTTTCCTCATATGCAGTCTGTATCCCAGCTTGAAGTTTACACGGGCAGCTTATGTTGTCATATATCTGTTATAAAATGATGCCAATTATTTTAAGAATTCTGTTGACTCATCCAGCTCTAAAAACTATTGAGTATTTTCTAAAAATTAGACTTTTGTAAGGCATATGCAAAACAGTGAAAGATATTGCAACTTATTTCAAAAACCTTCTTAATTTATTTAATCATCATATATAACTTGAAAGCTGCTGCAGAGACCAGATACTATGAGTAGCACTGAGTGCTGCTGAGCAGTAGTGTAAGCAGTGTAATTGTGTTCAGCAACGGAGGGAATGCAGAATCCACCCCATAGCACTGGGTCAAAGCAGTTCAACTCTGTGTGCTTTGAACACAGAGGTCATTTCACTGAAACATTTAATAGCAGCCTTCTCGTCTTCCAATAGAGGACCATGTCAGTTGTAATACAAATGATCAGCCTCATAAAAGGATGGAGAATATTTCCTTCAAACTAAGACTATAAACTCATGCAATTGTTAACTGAACTGAGCAATTACTGAAGCAATTGTGCTATTGCTTGGCAAGTGAGTTTTATTTTGTCTCACAGCCCAGTACTGTAGTGTGTCTCTGGCACAAACACAAACAAGATATGACAATTGGGTCCTACTAGTTAAAACAAACTAAAAAAACAAACAAAAAAGAAACAACATTAGTCTTTTATAGAGTGGGAAATTCACTGAGCTGAAGTTCACGTGTTTTTTGGCACATGAATTCCTTTCCCTCATGATATAATGCTGCTCTGTGGATTTACTTTGAGAATTTCCAAACAGTTTAGTGGGGTTTTGGTTTGTTTGGTTTGGTTTTTTTCCTTCAATAGCATTTATAGAAATAAACTCCTTCTTTCTGATATGTTCCTCCACTGAGAAAACAAACCCACAAGGTATTATCGAATTATATTAAACTTTATTTCTACAACTTTGGGAGAAGTACCTGTGTGCAGAACTTTGTTTTGTGGTCATATTTCAACAGAAATGAGAGAAATAAAAAACAACAACAGGAGAACTGCATGAATTCCTGGGTGCAGAATTTTTCCCTCTTTCTTTCCTCCCTTCCTCCCTTCTTCCTTCCCTCCTTTCCTTTCATTCCTTGCCTCCCTCCTTTTCTGCTGCCTTCCTTATTTCCTTTCTGCCCCTGACTGTCTCTCCTTCCCTTCCTTCTCCCACTGCCACTTCATGGAGTGCCACAGATGCCTTTCTTTGGCATAATATATAAAGCAGAACAAAGTTAACACTCATACACCACCATTGTATTTCATATTTTTTAAAGGAACTTAATTTTTCAAAACATGAAGCAAAAGAACTGCAAAATTAGATAAAGTTCATGTTATTAAAGATGTTATACCAAACATCTTGGTATGTTTTGTTCCTTCTCCTGTATATCTTTGTGCAGATGTTGTAACACAATTTCTACCACATTTAGGGATTTCAGACACCAGTATTATGATTGCATGCTGTCCGATTTCTACATATAGTTTAATTATGAGGCTTGGGGGTCAGAATTCATGTTTTGCATATTGCTGATAATTTCTGCTGCAAGAAGTTTCTATATTATTGGAGAAGTGACCTCTGTCCCATAGTGGTCAGGATCCTTTTTCGTGGAGATGCTTGCAGTAGTTCATGACTGTCATGGAAGTTGCTCATAGACTGCTGTTTCTGTGGCATGCCACAGGTCCTCATGTTCCCATAGGGATTTGCAGTATATCTGTGATTGATGAATACTTAAAAACTATGACTTGGAGAAAAGTTGAACCAATCTCATTAAGTTCACAGCTTTTTAACTTTTTTATTTATGAGTTAAGTTCCACTCCTCTTCCTTAATATTCAGGTAGGCAATAAGTTTTGCACATTTTAGGTCAAAAGATAATGATGCAATTTTTATATTTTATGTCTGTTAGACAACCTTGTCAGTCTCTCCTCATGCCTGGCAGCTTGTACAAACAGCAGGACAACTGCAGGTTGGTTGCAGTTGCAGATGTGCCTGCCCTACATACTGTGCAGGGAGCAGCAAACATCAGTTGAGTTGCTGTCAGGTTTTGTGCTGTGCCATGGTTAGATTACCAGCTCTGGACATTTAGATTTGGCCCAAGGGTAACCTGTAACTGACTCAAACTAACAAAAAGATTGTAGTAAGAGGGGAATAGGAATGCATGATGTGTTGTTTTTACTGAACTAAAGGAAATGTTAGCTTTTTGTAACTGAGCTGGGACATTCTATCCTGGGAAAGTGTGAGAAACCATCAAATTCCCCACGCAGCCATTACAGTCACAAACATTCACTATTTTCATATTGAAGAGGAGCAACAATTCCCTAGTGAAGGTATACAGGAGCATCAATACTTGGAGAAGAAAGACTTGCAATATTTAACTCATTTATGTTTACTGAGAGAATCTAGCCCCCTAAGGAAGGGCTAAAGAGAAGTGGTGGTGAGGCCATACCTGCAGTACTGTATCCCATTCTGGGTTTCTCAGTACAAGAGAGACATGGACATATGGGATAAAATCTGACAAAGATTTACGAGAATGATGAAGGGACTGGAATATTGCTCACATGAAGAAAGACTGAGAGAGCTGTGACTGGAGACGAACAGGGTCAGGGGGATCTCATTCGTGTGTACAAATACCTGAAAAGAAGATGCAAAGAGGATGGAACCAGACTCTTTTCGGTGTTGTCCAGTGCAGGTCCAGAGGCAATGGGCACAAACTGAAACATGGGAGGTTCACCGTGAACTTCAGGAAACACTTTTTTACTGTGAGAGTGACAACATAGGCACAGGTCACCCAGGAAGGCTGTGGAGTCTCCCTCCTTGGAAATAATCAAAAGCTGTCTGGACAGAGTCCTGGGGAACCAGCTCTAGGAGGCCCTGCTTGAGCAGGGGGTTGGACCAGATGCACTCCAGAAGTTCTTTCCAATGTCAGCTTTTCTGTGATTCTATAATAATGTGAGCAGCAGCCAGGCTATTGAACTTGGAATATGAGATAGTCCTGTTGGAAAGCCCCTCAGGGAGGTTGCTCTTTGCAAAATCTAAAGAAAAGGTATACTTTGGGACTCCTGATTGTGCCTTCCAAGCCTAAGATG